AAGGATCGGGGTGTGCATTCATGTTTTGCACGCAAGAAGATTGAAAACAAGCATTGAATGCAGCAGCATCGTGAAAGCAAAGAAAAAAATATGAATAAAAAAAGCAAGACTGACACAAACACGCATGGTGGAAAACACACAAAACATCATCATTAGCACACAGTTAAGTTATAAATAAAAGCCCAGCATCATATGGTTGAAACTAAAAACTTACTTAAAACATTATTCTTTTAAGCTTGAATATGCTGCTCCTTGTTCTTTCTTATGAGCAACAAAATTATTCTGTTTTATTTTATTCTATTTTTTCTCTCTTGATAGAAGAGAACATATTTGAAATATCAATAAAGACAATCATTAATATTCTGTGTGCAAAAAGCCACAGTTGGCCGGAAAAGGTGCCTTTTGCATGCATGGTAACATAGGCCTTTCCTACTTATAAAGTATCCAGTTATCGACTGACAACTAAGCCATTAAACTTTAAACAAAAGACTTCTGCAAAAGATCAACCATCACTTAAGATATCCCTACTTGCTGTGTACAAACACAGAGTCATTCAAACAAGTAATTCCCTAGGGAATGCATTGACGGAATTTTTAGAATATTTTCAACTCGATCGCAGTACTATACTAACGGCTCCGCCCCTGAGGCGTCGCCAAAAACAAGTTTCAGATATTCAAAATGTCTGGGAAGTAAGATAACATACCTCCACTGACGGGTACAGCCAAGAAGAGGATTGAAAGGCAGACTGCTGACAGTAGGGTGTCCATAGCTGCTGTCTGTGTTGCAGTAGTGAGGACGTTGGTAACTAAGCGCTGACACAGAAGAAAAAGAAAATAAGAAAACTGAATACCATCGGTAATAGCCTGATTCAAAGGCGTGAGAAACGAGGTAACGTTATAGATGTAGTTGGTGATATTGGCAAGGAGCCACGGCCGGCTTTTATGAACCTTATGTCAGCCCTGACACTTAGTTCTAATCTACATGCAGGTCTTTTTGTGGATACAAGACGGTAAAAAATTGACAGGGCGATAGAAACGATAAAAACGCCTAACAAGACGTAATAAAAAATAGCCCAAACCTCTGCTTGGAGAGTAATGTTGGACTTGAAGTTCCAAACAAATTACAAGTACGTGGCTTTCAAACTCTATTATAGTCCTTCAAAAAGGCACCGTAATTGGGGAAGTGTATCCCAAAGTGGCTACTTAGACTACAGGTGAAGATATAACTTCGTCAGCAATGTCAAGTGTTATGGTACTCATGGCAACCTGGAATCGCTTTGTGATCGTACACAAACAATATCACAACTCAATTTAAAATAGAATTACCACTAACATGTTGCTTCATTAAAAAATTTGAGGACTTTAAAGCTCCTTAGCTGTGAAGTATATATATATATATATATATATATATATAGTTTTAAACCCTGTTTAGAGTTAGATGTTCAGATCTTAAGGTTAGGTGTAACAAGTCGTTCGCTGCCGCCGCGCCGTGTAGACACGCGGCGCGTCGGCAGCTAGCTAGCCTGAGTGGTACCCAGGCTAGCAGCTGGCTACATGACACCAAACAACCTGTCATACCTAACCTTTTAACATCTAACTCTAAACATTGTTTACAACTATCTAGTGCTGATGCTTCTACTGTACTTGGTGGCAGCGAGTTCCACCCTACGATAGTTTTGAACTCAGTCCTTGCTTGATAACTCTGCTACTTCAAGGCATGACTATTTCTTGTTCTTCTCTGAGCTGGTGTTAGGTACTTAGTAGCTTGTACATCCACCGGTTTATCAGTCATTTTGTACATCATGCATAGTCTGGACAATTGGGTGGGTACATAATAACTACATTCACCTTGTAAAACTACAGAATGACAGAACAAATGTCTGTTCATGTACCAGATAATGTCATATGAAAAAGACCAAAGAGTGGGAGATGAAAAATTCTGTTTTGGCAACAAATGTTTATTTCTATGTACATGTATATGAAAAGACAACAGGTTTTCCTTTTTTTAACATTCATGCTACGGGAAGGGTTGAAGTCCTCAGGACGGGGTGTTATGCCGTGGTTCGCAGTTCTTTCTACTTGAAGAATAGAGCTAGGGGGACTTCCCTTGCACAATGAACCTGTGAATACAGTATATGGTGTCTGTCTTCTCTGTCAAGGTCAGCGGTAGATTAGCTTTACTGTTCATTGGGTACATCCTGTGTCACTTGCAGTCTTCTTTGTCGCCTGTTGCCACATAGTACATCAACACGCCTCCCATCATACCGATGCCAACAATACAGAACACACAAACCAGCGCGATGTGGAGCGGCGTGAAGCCAGACGTCTCCCCTCCTGCAAAACATGATACGATTCGTGGATTTGCGCTTCTGACCAAGGACATTCTACAACGTGATGAAAGCTCCTTGTTCTGACATAGGAACAAGAGGCCACTAACAACAATTGTATGCAAGAAGGTGCAACCTTATACAGTTAATAAGGGAATCAAATGATGAAGATAGTGTCATCCATATCATACCTGCTAGGCCTGTGGTCTGGTTAGTGGTATTCTGTGAAACAGTTGTTCCTGGAAGAGCTGACAGTTGTGTCAGTCGTGGAGAAGACACCTGTGTGGATGTGGCCTGTGTAGTACGGTCTGTGGTGTGGATTGGAGAGGTTTCATAGCTTGACGTCGTGGGTACCTCAGTAGTTTGCTGAGTTGCATCTGGAATTGCAAGAAACCGGAATCGTCATCATAACATCAATACATAAACCGACCCAGGATTTTAGTTTTATCGTTTATGATTGTTTTTGTTTAATTACCGTTTTTTTCATTATCATCTTAATTTTATTGTTTGTACGTAACGTTAACTTCGTGTATTTTGTTTGTTGCCTAGAGGAAGGAGATATATACTTCCGCGGAAGGGTTAAGTTAGTGGTCGACGTTTGTATGTTTGCAGGTGTATCTCACGTCGGGGTGAATGGATTTGTCTGCGACTCGGTATACCTTTTGTTTGTTTGTTTGTTTCGCATAGCCGGTAAACCGCCTTAAGGCGTAACACACCAGTTTTGTACATGTACGTACATGTACAAGCTGCGTAAGACCGTACTGTAAGATTTGAACCACTCACACCGGGAAGTACCCCTACTCTTTTCGATAAGTGCGATTGGTTCTTTAACGTGCGTGGGGTGTGGCTCTCCCCAAACACGGGACCTTCATTTAATGTCCTATCCGATGGACGTCCCTAACCGAAGCTAGGTACTTATTTCCACCTGAGCGAAGTGAGGAAAGTCGTGTAAAGTGCCTTTCCCAAGGGCACAAGATCAGTGACATGGGCAGAATTCGAACCCGCGACCTCTTGGGTGTGAGCCGAACGCGCTACAAACTGCGCCACATGACCCCACTTTTGTTATTGGGCTGCAGATGATGCGCCTCCCTTATTTAAAATTGTATGTGTATATTTCGGCCGTCGACATTAAACATGTTGACCATTTCTCTGGACACCCCCGTTTCCGTTTAAATGGTAGTTTTTTTATGGCTTTGGCTGTTGTTAAGGAGTAGCCGGGTTGTACCATATTAAAAAGGCGTGCCTGGTTCCGATGAAAATCAGGTTTTCGACAGAACGCAGGTGCGGAAAGGGGTTGGTGATTTGTTGTTCCAAAAGTTAGACATCAGATTCAATTGAACTGGCTGCAGCTGACAGCAGTGGTGAAAAAATCCAACAACAAAATTTATCGGTTTTTGTTGGCATTTTGAGTTCCAACGCGCGTCTTTGCAGGTTAAGTAAAAAAAAGGCAGACTGCTGACAGTAGGGTGTCCATAGCTGCTGTCCGTGTAGCAGTAGTGAAGACGTAACCTAGTAAGTGCTGAAACTGAACTAAAATAAACCTGAAGTAATATCACAGGAAACAGCCTAGCCTGATTTAAAGGCAGAAAAAATTAGGTAATGTTTATATAATATAGTTGATGATTGGAAGGAGTCATGTTATTTTAACATTCTGTTATAGTCCTCAAAATGACGCCATAATCGAGGCATTGTGTACACTAAGTGGCTGCTTTGACCAAGGTGGTTTAAATCCTCCTTGTTTTGACTACAGCAGGAACTTGGGGGAGGTATAATTTCGACTGCAATATCAAGAGCTATGTATTCTCTAATACTATTATAGTCGATCACTGAAATGGCGTCATAACCGAGGCATTGTGTACGCTAAGTCTATACTTTGACTACAAAAGGGACTTGGGGATTAGATATAATTTCAACGGCAATGTCAATATCTATGTATTTTCTAACTCTATTAAAGTTCCTAAAATGGCGTCATAATCGAGGCATTGTGTACTCTGACCCCCATCTTCACATTAAGCTCTTGTACATGTAAGCACATTGGATCTGGATTCCACCAAAGCAGGATTCATGTGTCTGGACGCTCCATATCGCATTGAAACTGGGTCGATCCCAAACCACCTCTGGAGGTAGTTTCTAAGTAGCTTCAATATATCCCAAAGCCACCTTGGGTCTTTTCATCAGACTATCTAGGATTCTAGCTTGGCCGATTTGTACTTGGGCATGGTTAAGAAGTAACGTGTGGCACGTAGACCAGACGAAGTATGCAATTTACCCGGATCAAGATTTGGGGAGCTCAGTGTGAAGACAGCCTTTGACTTTGTTAAACAACAGATTGGCAGATTTGTAGTAGACAGTATCATATTTAAAAGAACAAAGCTTGTAGAGTGAGAGACAAAAGTTTTTTAATATATTTTTATTTCTATGTGTGCCATTCTTTCTTTTTTTTTTATTAGACTTTGGCGATCTCTAGTGAATCCAACTCATACAAAACAGTTTAACAAAGTAAAACTTGCATGAGGACACTTAAATATTTTCATGTCAATGTTGGAAAACCGATTGTACTATGTTTCGTCACTCAGGTGTCAGATCATGGAGCTAAAAAAGGTCGATCAGCTCAGAAATTTATGTCCCTTGCAGGGGTCCACCCAAAAAAAGTGTAGGGACGGCAATTTTTTTGTAGGGTCAGTCGGGAAACAGGAAACACAACATTTTTTTCCTAGGCCCTAGCACTCCTGTCTTTACCTGACCCTATTGCAACGCTTCCCTCCTAGCGTTTTAGTCTAATTCAAACACCAAGGTGACTAATTATTTTAGTCACCCAACCAGCTAGTCCCATCTTGGCCCACTGCCATTTTTTTTATAAAGCATCTGTTGTTTCACTTGAGGGAGTCTGTGACTTGTGCAAAGAAGTACTGCAGCAGTGGAACCCCATCTCCAGTCACACCACTGTAGGGGGGAAAAGGAAGATATTTAGGCCACATACACAACAATTTAATTGGTTCTCATATTTTTTTTGGAAAAAAATTGAAATGGCAGGGCAGAAAAATAAAACATGAAAAAACTATAACAGCTAGGAAGACAAGGACTTTCTTCAACTGTTGGGGCCATTTTTGGATTTGATTCATTTTTGTTTTGCAAATCAGAAAAAAATGAAGCGGGCAAATGTCTGACAGGCACTGAAATGTAAGTACTGGTTGTGTAAGAAGAAAATTCCAATAACCCAATTTGATATTTAAGCCTTACCTGACCAAGAACACCTGAGGGAGGCATGTCTTTGTCCTCTCCTTGATCACCTGTCTGACAGATAAGACATTCCTGAGGAGGATGTGGGGCGACACTTTGTCTATCTTTGTCATCACCAGCTGAAAAAAAACACAGCATATTGTGCTTCATAATTACATGTACTTCTATTTAGGCCATGATGATTTGATTATATGGATGACATCCTCTGGTAACACGAAAACTGATGCGAGCGTGCGAATAAAAAAAAAGGTTTGGCAAAAAAAGTTTCCTTCATAATGAAATGTATGTGGTCATAAAGGCTGAACAAATGACTAAACACGTGTAGAGTAGGGTATGGCGAATAATAATAGGGAGTATTACTGGGAGTTATAAGAATGTACTGCAAACACGGACAAAAGACATACCACATAAGGCCGCTTAAATTCTTCAATCATCTCTATAGCAACAGTATCCCATGATGCAATTCCAGCAGCGCCATCTACCAGGAAGACTGCCATTCTCAAACTGCAGGAAGAGAGGGTATACGGAGAAGTCAGGCACTCACCACGTAACGTAACCTGGCCTGCTCCAGCACGGCTATCCGGCACCAGTCTTTATGCATGATGCCTAATTTGCCATCTATGAGCAGCACTGTCAATACCAGGCTGAGAAAAGAAGACAACAGTTATATTCATAGTCCTTATTTTTTATTTATACCATTAACTACCAATACTATTTGTTACTACCTCCTTCTTGTTACTAAAAATGTACCTTTTTTTTATGTGTACCTTTGCAGATGGAAAACATAATTGTTTTTGTTCAACCTCTAAACACGTAAGGTCAATGACCTGGGCCAGACAGCTGTCACCATGTAAACTGGTGCTATGGCAAACAGCCTGTGGTATTGGATCACATTATGTAACAATTTGGTCACCAAATATAAGAATGAGTTTCAGTAAGAATAAACAGAGCAGTAGTTTAGTGGGCAGTAGACCGTGTGAAGGTAAACATAATGCATTTGCTTTGCAAATGTTATGCCTCTAACCTTTTCACTTTATGTGGATCTACAATTAGTTTTAGTTCTTCCACCAATATATAGATAATGTGTACAGTAATTTTCATGACTTACTTCTTCCTCTGTAGCAGGTAATCCTCCACAATGCGGACAAAGTCAGCGGGTTGTCTGTGCCCATACCCAGGCATGTCCACTAAGGTCATGGCACGGCCCACCCTGAAGAAGTTGGCCATCTTAGTGTGGCCCTGGGAACAACAGAAACAGGGTTTTATCAGACATTTCTGATAGCATCTGCTATCTTATTACATGTACATCTGTGACTGAGAGGCACTAGATGATAGTCACTGATACATGAAATAGAAATGTTATTTGAAACATTTTAGAGAATTCATTTTTTGTATTATGTAATGTTTTAATTGCATGTTTAACCTTCATCAACATATTTATTGGGATTTAAATACTAGTATTTTTATAGGTTAAGAATGATGAATCGCCGTTTCATGAAATGATTCTCATGGTCTTACCAGTTGAATGCAAAGAAAAGCAGCCAGTATACAAAACTCCACAACAAAACTATACTAATTCGAAAATTAGTGCTCTCAGACTAATCAATGTAACAGTGGGGTTCGAATGTTCAAGCACCACCAACTGACCAACTTGTATTTTAAACAGGTCCGGACCTTTTGGCCTTGCGGTTGGTGCGTTGGGTTCGTGAGAAGGTTTGAATCCTGGGAACCAGGAGACTGTGCTACTCACCCCTTTGTGTTTCACTGTTACACCTGCTTGCTAAACAAAATTGCTTGCAAATGGTTCATCGTACCGGGTTTTTTGATGTCCTGACTTCCAGGTCTGGAACCTCTCTGAACAAACACTGCAGAAGGGTGGACTTTCCAACGTTACTGCGACCCATAACAGCAATCTGGAAAAGAGAAAGACATTCATTTTCAAATTAAAATAAGAGTGATAATAATGATAATAATTGGTTTATTGAGAGAAAATAGAACCAGTTTCATTCTACAATATATGGAAAACATAATGCCTTCAATTTTTTTTTAAATGAAACATTTAGTAAGACTGACACCATGATATTTGTTTGGACCATTAATCTTGACTGACTCATGAAGTAGCCATTTTGCTGACAATTCATTTACCTGAATTTACCTGAACTGCAGAGATATCGTCTTATCTCCGCAGTCAGGAGCTTGATGGCGGGTAGCCATCTTAGCCACTCCTGGGTAACATTCTGGTTAGTTTACCAGGATGGTACCAAGGCTAGACGATTCTCTTATATTTACAGGGTTTAACACAGGAAGCATTGAGAACACTATATACATGTACATTTCTCACCTCTGGTCTGTTGTGTTCTGGTGCATGATCTGGACTGGGAGCAGACAGCACAAACTCTATCTTATGTTTCGGCCCTGCAGGTCTAAACAACTGGGCAGCTCTTTGCACTTCCTCTTCCGTTGGGTCCACAACTCTCTCTATCTGGGGCAAGAGTGGGATCTGAACCAAGGGCTGGAGGTCGTCTATGGGGTTTAGAGAGAAACCTCTCTTCTTGGCTGCTGTTGGGCGTCGTGCCAATACGGATGTTGTATTTGAGAAAAGTCTCAGGCAAGACAAAAATGGGGAAGATATTTTAAAAGTCTGTAAGCTTGGATAGCATCCAGTTGGATGCAGTTTGTATCCTGTATGACATTTTTGTGATGAGCTTTTTCTGTACAGCACCAAATCAAGTGATCCTCCTTTGTGTAAATGTTTTTGAGTGGTCTGTCCTTTCATCAGTTGAACGTTTGTGCGTGCTATGGTCTCTATGGTAGATACTGCCATGTAGTTTGTGAAGCAATGGGACCCTGTCCATCGGAACTGTTGTAGAACTCTTCTTCTGGTAAAACAGGACACACAGGACATCCTCAGTGTCGGCAGTTCAGCACAGTTATGGCAGCTGCACACCTCTTACAGTTCTCTGAACCCAAGACGAAAAGCACTGGAAACACATTGACAATAGACTTGTTAACTATAACACATGAATACAAGCCATATCTATGATCTGATTGATATGCAGAAAAAAACCTGATGGTGCAAAAACTGCGTATGCACTTGAGCATAAGAAAACCGTGTGCTTCTTTTATCCTCTGCCAATAAATCGGCCTGCTTTGACGTACATCAAGAATTCAGAGTGTACACCAGCCCTTAAGGTAACGTATCATCTGACCACATGTTCTTGTACATCATTCAGGCAGATTTACATGTAGGGAAATGTGACGTATGTGGTTTTCATACAGTTGTAAATGCACAAAGTTTTTGCACATCAGGTTTTTGCCTGCGTGTAAATCTGGTCTTATACCTGACCAATAATCTTTGTAACGTTAATTAGTTAAGTATCTTCACATGAGAATCTCTCATTAATGCATTGCACTGTATTTTGCAGCTGCTGATGGCTTTGAAATAATTTTGCCACAGATGAAAGGAGGTTGAATTTTTTAAACTTTCTTGCTTGAAGCATTACACTGCCAAGGAGGTTTACTAAGGAATGTTGTCAAGAGCTTAAGGCACTTGTGTCCTTAGAATAAGTAAGCAGCAGCAAAATGTTTTCTTTTAAGTTCTCATTTCCAAAAATTATGCATGACGATCATGAATGCTACGTTTGTTGTTGATGGTGGATATGGGGAGGGGGGCGGCTGAGGAACGAGGAGTATTAACCATTTGGAAATGGTTTCTGATTAATATAATTTGAGACATAAGACATAAATGATCATGACTTAAACATGCATATGGAATGCTTCCATACCTGTCACTACGTATCTGATTGATAAGAGAAATGATATGATCGATAAACTTACAAAACCATATCCTTCACGAGCCCACATGGATCACACAACTTTACAAACTGCAGTTTTGATCAATTTCGCTAGATGGCATCCAAAAATAGTGGTCAGGCCTTGCATCTCTGAATCTAAACACTGAAATTGGGTAAAAAGGGTTGATGTACATTCTTCTTACATTTAATTACGTATTTTGTTCAAATATGGTGTTAGTCAACGATTTGGGCGCTTTTTCGCAAACCAGGTATTATTATATTAAAAGGTCACAGGGTCAGGGCTACGGGTAACATCCGGGTACTTTCTTATCATACGAATGCATGATGGCGGCTGTCTGTTTGACTGCCGATAACCTGAAGAATTGGGAAAAGAGCGGAAAAACCGACTTGTAAGTACAATTTTCACCCGATCGTTGGTCTAGCGTGGTGCCTACCGTCTACGGAAGTTTTCGGACGTTTTGTTGGCGTAGCACGCCATTTCTAAGATTATTTACGTGCGTGAATATCTCAGTGCTATCCTTGATCCTCTTTTCGGCCATGTTGCCTCCCCACACGCTACACAAAATTTGTAACAAAACAGAATGTTTTAAAACCAGAAAATTCATACATAGAGCAAAAATAACCTTCCCTATGGAAACTGAAATCTTACAGATGTAACATATACGTGGTTGAGCAAAGTTCTCATAGCTTTATGCATTATTTTGACGATGATAACATGTATGTTTCACTTTCTGTTTCTTCCCTCAGTCTGAAATTATGTCGGAGCCTGGCACACCAAGATGTAGACAGTCTGACGGGAACTAGCAATACTAAAGGTGGGCAGCTTCTACGCAATTCGTGTATTTCGTAGTTAAAGTTTCTGTGCTGTTACATGAATGGGTCATAATTTGGTTACAACTAAGGATGGTACCAGTATGGACTGGTACAACTTGCAAGCACTGAAAAATAAAAACGGAAAAAAAAAATTGTGCTCTTATAAATTATAACGGGGGGTGCCCTAATTCCGACCCATCCCTAATACCGAACTAGTTTGAAAAATCCTTGTTGCGGCGTTATGCATGGGAGCACGTGCCTAAAAATAATCACAAGAATGGACAATGTTTTTGTGTTGATATCGGCAATCTCACAAAGTTTGTTTTAGTTCCTACACTCCGACAACAGACGAGTGAAAAATCTGTGTGAATTCGACGCTTGTTCGGGGGTTGACGAGCGTGTCAAAAATGCAGATTTTGCTTTTCAAACAGCCACTTTGGAGCAAGTCGCGTAATCGTAAAAAGAGGACTTGTTTGGGACAGAAAACAGTTGTAGATTGTTTTAGTCATAATTTGTGTATTATAATTTCTAAACTCTCTTCTCAGATCGACCTGTGTTAAACACTAGGTCGGAATTAGGGCACCCCTGTTGCGATAGAACGTTCCACCGGCAAAATGACCAAAAAATTGCCGTGTGTTTCGTGAACCACTACGCTTGGGTGCAAGGCGCTACACTCAAGTCAAACTTGTTCAGGAATTTTTGCAGTTCTATTTACAAAGTCTATTCTCCATATCAATTACGTGTGATGTATGTATTATGGAATTCAGTGTATAAACTATAAAGGCAGAACAATTGGTATTACATATATACAAGGCTTATACACATTTTGAAGACATGGAGAAGTCCCCATTATTATGGGTGCAAATGTTCACACCTTTACAACTGACAAGGCACATTGGCACCACAGTGCAAAAACTACCTATTGTCTTCATCTAAGGCTAATTAAGACATGGATAATGGAGTGCAGGGCTTGAAGTACTTTTTCAGCATCCCTGCACTGGTGCAAGTAATATTTAAAATTACCTGCACCAGACAAGTTTTTACCTGCACCACTCAGAATTTAGGAAATAAGGATCACTCTAAAACTGTCCACAAACCATTGCCAAAATTATTTCTTTTACTCTTCATACTAGTAAGTAATGACAGTCAATACAGTTATGAAAATCTACAAACACCTACATTTGCATATAAACACAGTAGTGCAGGTTTACGTTAGGTACAGGTAGACTTAAGAAATACCTATATAGCTCCAATTTTACCTGCACTGAAGTGTATATGCATGAGATATTTTGAGCCTTGCTATGCATAATCAGTGGTGAAATATTTTTTTCAGTGCTCTGCAATATTGGAGAAAAGTCAAAATTTTGTTCTGCAATTTGGAAATATATGTACAATGTATATGCTTTATGCAAATACAGAAGCCTATATTTTGACCAATTTCTGCCCACATTACACATGTAAATGCATATTTTCTGTCTCAGTCCTGCAGGCCTCGAAATTAACTTTTTTCACTATTGTCCCAGAATTGTCCCGAACATAGATTTCAATTGTCCCGAACTGAAGATGGACTGTCCCAGCCTGCTTTTCAGGAAATAAGTTGATGACAAAAATAAGAAAACAACAACTGAATTTGTACAACTTGAAGTCCACTTTATTAGTAAATGTTGGGAAATACACGATAATATCATGGGCATGGCACCGTCCCTGATATTTGGAATCCCTGATTGGTCAAATTTAAATGTTCGTCAGAGTATTTATAGGCTGCCAGCAGTCTGCAGCAGGATGGATGGATCGCGTTCCCAAATGACGTGGATGGTCTTAGAATTTTCCAATTGCCCCAAAATTGTCCCGAAACGTAATTTGAATTGTCCCAAGCTGAAAATTTAGTGTCATTTGACACTGGGACAATGTTAATTTCGAGCCCTGGTCCTGGCCATGGGGTTTTCTATTTTACATAGTCTTCATCTCAATATAAACTGCATGGAAAATAAACTGTGTTAAATACTGTTATATATTTGTCTATAGAGAAAATACTAGGTTGGGTACAATGTGTTGTGTTTATTTTCCCCAGATCTCAGAAGAGCTCTGTATGAGCTGTGCTTACAGGTAGTGAAGGGGGCCATCAGACATGACAGTGCAGTCAAGGTGCTACTGGAGCTGGGGGTAAGAATTCCAATTAGTCATTAGGTGTTCAAAGTGCCTTTCTCAAGAGCACAACATTAGGGCATGTCAGGGGATAGAACCCACGCTTCAGGGGTTCAAGATTTCAAAATTTTCCGTGGGAGCATGCCTCGACATAATGTAACGTCAAACAAAATTGAGATAATGGATTTCAGGCTGGCTTGAACATGCAAGTCAAGACTGTAACTTACAACACTTTGATTCACTCAAATTGGATTGAACCCCTAAGCTTTTTGTAAATAGAGACTAGAGAAAAGGTATGTGTAGTTTAATCCTATTTGTTAATTTAATGATTGGATATTTTTCTGCAGGATGTTAAGAGAGACTTGTCTCTCATCATGGCTGATATCCTGTCACTTGTAGGTAGGTTGTCTTTTCAGATGTTCTACTACTTCTACGTGTACTTGATATCTGTACTGGGTATTCTATGTACAAGCTATCAGTATCAGATATCTTTGTTGATGAAATTGTTGTTGAGAAGGGAGCTATAATTTGTGCTGCCAGAAGGCCTCTTGTTCATCATGTCTCTTCAATTTCAATCGTCAGATAGTTCTGTTTGTAATCTGTCTGGCTCTGCCATGCTAAATTACATCTATATATTCATTAGCTCTTAGCACCTCAGCAGAACATACTGCACCTGCGCATAACCCGGATTTTTCATGTTTTTCGTTGGATGTTTGGTCAACATTGCATCAGACTTTTACCCTTTGCAGATAGTATCTTTTCCAACACGTTTGAAACTATAGATGGGATGTCATCCTTAATAACGCAAATACAACCGTAAACAGAGATGTTCTGCTGAAGTGTTATGCATAATACATTACATGTTTCGCTCTGCCAACGTGCTGTTGTGTATAGCTCTATACTGTGTTGTGTTTCTAAGCAGTTATTCCTTTGTTGTGTTGTCTTTGTAACTTAAGTAAAGGCATTGTTAGTAAAGGCATTGATAATCTTTGTAATTATTGATGCTTATGGGTGTAGGTTTGAAACATCTGTGAAAGCAGTTTTTACTGACAATTTGCAGATATGGACACCATTTGTCATGAAGACAAAACACAGAGAGAACGCTTCGTATCCCTCGTGTCAGCCTGCATGGTAAGTAACAACAATGTTTTTATGGGATTTTGACTTTAGTCCTCCCTTTAGAAATCAAACTACATGTTCTTAGTTTAACCTTCGGCTTGCTAAGGTAGCCACTTTGACATTGAATTTTACATTGGTTATGGGTTAAGGCAGCAGGGCAAATGTTTTTTTTTGTCGTTTCTGCCAAATGTGTTGAAAAAGAGATATTGTTGTCTTTTGCAGACAAGTGTTGTGCCTGAACAGTTGCTAAAACAGATATTATTTTTGTCTTTTGCAGCCAAGTGTGGTGCCTGAACACGTGCTGAAAGAGAGACTTGAAGTGGAGTCCCTGGAGGCAGTTTCCCTCATAACTCAAGTCAAAGTGTTCAACGTTAAATATGTCAAGACAAAGACCAAACTTTTGTAAGTATAGCATACATTAAATGGATTTAAGTATGGTAGCCTTGTAGAGAAAAATCACTTGGATTTGTTGCAATGTTACTTACAGTAAATAAGTAGTCACATTTAAACCTTAAACCACTGGACATTGAGTTAACTTTGGCTTGAAATTCCACCTACATACGCAGGTTAGAGCAGGTAAAACAACATGGGGGTGTGAAATTTTTATTTCAATACATGTACCAGCATTACAGATAAAAAGAAAAAATACTGCATCATCTGCAATAACTAACCATATACCAAAAATCATAGAAATCCGTCAAAGTTACAGCTGTAAACGCACAAACACGACTGAAAAGTACCTTCCCTGGAGGTAATTAACCATCATCTCTCTCTCTTTTTTGTCTCCAGCTACAAACAGCAGAAGTTCAACTTACTACGTGAGGAGAGTGAGGGTTACGCCAAACTTGTGACAGAGCTGGGCCAGGACATGTCAGGAGCAGACACCAGCAATACTGTCCTAGAAAACATCAAATCTCTTATAGGTATGACCATGACGCTTCTTCTGTGTGTTTTTATACAACTGTAAAATGGATGATAAGTCATTGAATAGATAGAATATGCAGTTTCCCACAATGTGTTGTTTTAATAGGAAAGTTGCATGAAAAATTTAGAATGATAACATTTGCAAATTTACCTTCACATGGTCAAGCCTAACAAACTACTATCCCGTTTATTGTGATTATATGGTGATTGTGTTTACATGGTGACCAGCCCCTCCAATTTGCTACATAATGTAATTCAAACCCACCAGGTGAATACTACAGTACCAGTTCCTGTGGTGACAGCCATCTGGTCCAGGTCATTAACCTTATTCGTTTGGAGAAGAAGAAGAAATAGAGCAAAAACAATATGTTTTCCTTCTTTTCAGGGTAAACATAATATATTGTAAAACCAAACCAAACATTTCAGTATTGACTGTACTTTGTTGTATCTTCTATCGCCCTTAGGCTGCTTCAACCTTGACCCTAACCGTGTCCTTGACATCATCCTGGAGTCGTTTGAGTGCCGTCCCCACCTCCATGACTTCTACATCTCCCTGCTGAAGTCCTACATGACGGAACCCTCCACACTGTGCCATGTACTCGGCTTCAAGTTCCAGTTCTACCAGGTAAGGCCAAGCCAGTTCAATTTGTTGCCTCTTGGATACTTCTTAGAAAAATTATTAAGCGATGGCAAAAATAAAAAAAGGCTGCAATTGCACGGGTAATGTTTGACCAATGAACCATTTATGTCACCATGATCATGAAAAAGAAAGGCCAAGGTATCCTATGAATGATAGCCCCAAATGCTACGATAGGAGCCTCGAAGTCATCATACCGGGCTGGTTTGTCATTCAAAGAATGAATTTTGAACTTTTGATCAAACCACATCAGTGAAGTTTAGACATCCAGGTATTGGGATACACAAGGAAACTCTTACTCAAGCAACTGGAAGATTTTGCTAGACAATTCAAGCAGCACCCACTGCTATTCGTCAGTGGCTGACAGAATCTGTAGTAGACAGAAAAAACGTTCAGTCTTGATGAGCTGTTTCATCTTTCCTTTCCCCAGGATGAAACGGGAGAGAAGACGCCTTCTTCACTCTACAAGGTGGCAGCACTCCTGCTGCAGTACCAGTTGGTGGAGCTAGAGGCGCTCTATGCACATGTAAGTGCCACTGTTTCAGAGTACTAACCATTTCATCTTTTGTTCATGTGCATATAGGAACATGTTAAATTCTGTTTGTTCTTACTTTAACACATTCATATATATATATTCACCTGAATGTTCACCTGAATCCAGGCCATACATATATACACATGGTTACCAGCCCTTCAAACTCTATAACTTGCTACATAATGTATCCAACATCACAGGGTGTCTGCGACAGCACTAAGTTACCATAATGATAGTTATCTGGTCCAGGTCATCTACCTTACTTCTTTGGAATAGAAGAATGAGCTGAGCAGAAACAATAGGTTTTCTCTCTGCGAAGGTAAAAATAAACGATGTTGTGCGTTGCAGTTGCTCCCCTCCGACAATGACATCAATGAGAAACACAAGCGAGACGGTCTGGAGGCACGGCAGCAGGCCAGGAAGATGTCCATGGTCATCCTGTCAGACAAGAAGGAGGAGGAGAAGGAGGAGGACAAGGACAGTAAGAATGACCAGGTATGGATAAAGAGTTATAGTTCAAACCTGATTGTTACATATAGTCTTTAACCCTCACAGTCCTAGGACTTCTCTAACATGTTTCTAACAGACGTGTTCCTTGCCTCCCCAGCAGGGAGACAACCAGAAGTTTGGACTGTGTGAGGCCCTGTTGAGGATAGGAGACTGGCCCCATGCCCAGCGGATCATGGACAGGCTGCCTCACCACGTGGCTGTAGAACAGCGCTCCATTGCTGCTGCCCTGTGTGCCTTGATCCACGCCACCATAGAGCCGCTGTATAGAAGGTACCATCTGTCTTCTCATTTAAGTCAAGCAGAGACATTTTTGCTATATTGGGGCTTGAAATACAACCTGCATATGCAGGTTAGTGCAGGTAAAATTTGAGCTCTGCAGATATTTCTGATGTCTACCTGCACCTAACCTGCATTGGTTCATGTACTGGGTTTATATACAAATGTGGATTTGTTATTTGCTGGATTGACTTATCACCTATTTGTTATTTGCTGTAACAGTCAGATCCATACTTCCTAAATTCTGAGTGGTGCAGGTAAAACCTATCAGGTGCAGGTTATTTTCTGTGTTACCTGTACAAGTGCAGGTACCAGTATTCAGAAAAAGTATTTCGAGCCTATGTAGTAGTATAGCCTCTACACATGAATTTAGGACTGTAAACTTTGTAGTGTTTTTCTTAGGAGGGGCTTTTTTTAGAGCTCTTTATTGTTTGTTTCCAGGGTTGGGGTGCCGAAAGGTGCGAAGGGTCGTCCTATCGCGCGGCTGGATAACGATCAGGCGCCTGCGCAGGTGCAGCAGTACGGGGACCTGCCGCAGCACGTGTTCGTCATGCTGCAGCACCTGGGACCTCACCTGGCCTGCGACACTGTCCTCATGGCCAAGGTCATCAGGGTCGGCAAGGCCTTCATGAAGGAGGTACATGGGTCCACTCAGATTGTGTGCCGTGGTGTTTATTTGTTTTACACAACCAGTAAACTACCTTTAGATGTTATGAAGCAAGTTTGAACTGTAATTTCCAATGCAAGAGATTAGACTTAGCCATATTTTCCACTATACAACTCCAGTCTTTGTCAAGCAGTTACACATAACAATGTTAATATATTGTAGTTATATGTTATATATAACAATGACAATACTATTCACAGATGTCACTTGTTCTGAGTTTTAAGAAGTCACATACCATGCGTGTATCTGAGCTGTTTTTTTGCTCCCTCAGTAGAGTGAGAAGTCAGGGAGGAAATAGGAGCTGGATAATAAATAAACATAAACAAACAAACAAATATCTGACCTGTTTTTCCTCCCCCAGTGGAGTGAGAACCCTGGTAGGAAACAGGAGCTGTGTGCTGTGTTCTACGGGCTGCTGACGGCTACAGACGAGGTGCTGCTGCCCACCATGTCCATGTTAGACGCCAACTGCTGCATGTCCGAGGAACTCTGGAGCCTCATCAAAACATTCCCCTACGAGTACAGGTCAGTGGGCTTTTTTTCCCTCCTTTTTTGTTAGTTCTGCCTCTGGTGTAACATGCCAGTTTTGTACAGTAAGTACAAGCTGCTGCATAAGACCGGACTGTAAGGTTTAATCCACTCACACCAGGAAGGACCCCTATTCTTATCGTTCAGTGGCATGAGTCAAACACGGGACTTTTGGCTTTATGTCCCATCCAAGAGGATGTAACTAACCGAGTCTAGGTACTCATTTTCATATTTCCTAAGGGCACAACACTGGGGCCTGCTAGGGATTCTAACATCCCTAACCACAAGACCACCTTGTCATCCTTGTTCCCAGATACTGTTCGTATAGCTATTGGAAGAACCAGGCCAGGGATTCAAACCCAGAACCTTATCGATTCTAAGGCCTAGGCATTCAAACCAGGCCTGGGATTCGAACCCAGAACCTTTTGCTTAGATTCAAAGGCCTAGGGATTCAAACCCAGAACCTTTAGATTCTAAGGCCTAGCGGTTCATACCAGGCCTAGGGATTTGAACCCAGAACTTTTAATTTCAAGTAATCTTGTCACCCTTGTTCCCAGATACCATATGTACGGCCAGTGGAAGAACCAGGCCTAGAGATACGAACCCAGAACCTTTTGGTCCTAATCACAAAACCTTGTCACCCCTGTTCCCAGATACCGTATGTACGGCCAGTGGAAGAACCAGGCCTACGCGCTGCACACCCAGCTGATTAGGATCAAGGCCCAGACCATGGACAAGACCAAACACATCATGAAACGTCTGACCAAGGAGAACATCAAACCCATGGGCAGGCTCATAGGCAAGCTCAGCCACGCTAACCCTGGGGTGCTCTTTGAAATCGTAAGTTTTGTTTATTTGTTTATCAAGATTTACCTCATTTGTGGAAGGGTTGACCCAACAGTTTACTATCACCTTTTCAAGATGTCAACTCTGAGACCAGACTGTAAGGTTTGAGCCACTCACACTGGGCTCTTCTCAACAGGTGTGATGGGATCTTTAATATAATCACTCTCTTCATGGGACTCACGGTCTTATCCAAGAGAACTCCCCTAACTGTAGCCATAGTACTCATTTTTAAGTGAGCAAACAGGTGTTATGTGCCTTTTGCACGGGCACAACACGGGGGCCTGCCAGGGATTTGAACCCAGAACCTTTGGATTTTCAGTCAACAACCCTAATAATGAGACCAACTTGTCACCAGTTTTTGGTCAGGACTTTTTCTGAAACCGAAAATTAAGGTCCAAGAAAGGCTAGAAAGGTAACATTTGCAAAGCAAAAGTGATGTTTACCTTGACATGGGCTAGCCCAACAAACTACAACTGTTACAGTTATTCTTACTCAGATGCATCTATTCTGCAACTTGCTACATAATGTAATCTAATGTAACACCAAGTGTCCTTTTCTGCTGCTAGATCTTGTCACAGATCCAGTGTTAAGACACCCAAATTTTCTAACTTAGCTGCAAGAAGGTTAACAGACTTGGTGTTAGATTCTTGCAGGTTAGTTTCTCATTTTTTACTGCCCTTTTCTTCTCCCAGATCCTGTCACAGATCCAGCGCTATGACAACCTGATCAACCCGGTGGTGGACTCGCTCAAGTACCTGACCACACTGTCGTACGACGTGCTGGCGTACTGCATCATCGAGGCGCTGGCCAACCCGGAGAAGGAGCGGATGAAGCACGACGACACCACCATCTCCCTGTGGCTGCAGAGCCTGGCCAGCTTCTGTGGAGCCATCTTCAGGAAGTACCCCATCGAACTGACAGGGCTGCTGCAGTATGTCGCCAACCAGCTCAAGGCTGGGAAGAGGTCTGTAACATTCAGGAGACACACCCCAATATTTCAAATTTTCCATCCAAGGCTGCACACCTTCGAGTCTAGTGACTCTTGTTATCCGGGGAATGATTCTGAAGAAAAACTGTCTATACTATAGTATGGAAGGGCTTAGGCTGTCTTTCGGTTACAAGACCAACTGAGTTTTGTTTCTTCACCCTTCTTAATTTTGGTAAAATCAACAAGAAGACCATTATTTGTATGACAAAAATAATTAATGCAGTAAATTGGAAATTTTTGCACAGAATACTCCATCAGCTATCTTTCATCAGTGACTGACAATGTTTCTAATAACAATTGAAACAAGTACTAAATAATAATCTGAATTGATATGAATTTAAAAGCTGCATGTTTTGTTGTTGTTTGTAGCTATGATCTCCTGATCCTGAAGGAGGTGGTACAGAAGATGTCGGGTATCGAGATCACAGATGAGATCACCAGTGACCAGCTGGAGGCTCTGTCAGGGGGAGAACTGCTCAGAGCAGAGGTACAGTTGGACTTTTTTGTGTCTTGGTAACAAGTTTTAGGATGCAGCGGGTTTGTTGGTTCACTTGTTATGATGCTGAGTAAGAAAACCAACATTGAATATATTTTGGTTGAAAAAGAAAAAGACTGAATGCACCAGTGCAGGTATGCAGAAAAAAGGATTTTGAGCCCTGGCCTTGTAAGTGTACCATTGCACCATATACCACCTACCCAAAAATCAGGTGCCTGTGGATGTACAAATATGCACTCAGTGTTCTGATATCCAAAATATGAACAAGTTTTTCATAATGCTATAATTGTACCCTGTAGGGCGCGTACTTCGGACAGATCAGGAACACGAAGAAGTCGTCCCAGCGACTGAAGGATGCCCTGTTAGAGAGTGAGCTAGCCCTGCCCCTCAGCATGCTGATGGCTCAACAGAGGAACCACGTGGTGTTTAAGGAAGGCGGAGAGATGCATCTTAAACTGGTTGGCAACCTGTACGACCAGGTATGTGTTCTCTTTCAAAATGTACATGCCTCTATGTTATTTTAAGTCCAGACCATACATGCATTACTGCAGCTAGTGTTAACTACTTGTAAACATGCATGAACTCCTACAATTATTATGTCTACCTTGTTCGCAAAAGGAAACCATGTGGTGAAGGATTACATTATGAAGCAAGTTTGGATGGTGGGGCTGGTCATCCTATTATGTGTTTTGAGTAAGAATAAGCAGAGCAGTAGTTTGTTTGGGTAGACCATCTGCAAGTAGACATTATGTGTTTGCTTTTCAAATGTTACCTTTCTAGTCCTATACTTACCCGTGGTACTGTAATTCCCTTTATATGCACAGTAGCAAAAGTTCACAGTCTGAGAAAAATGGACATGTTCACGGAACTGTATGTTCATGGTGGCGACAGGTGCAGGAAAAAGAAAGTCCAGGAATTATTTGTTAGGCTGTAATGATAAGTTCACTGTACAGAGGTGACAGTGAAAACAGTTAACATAACAGTACAGGGAAAAAAATCAGGAATTACAGTATTTAATTAGATGGCCTTGTCGTTAGGGTGTTCTGGGTTCATCTGTGTGACAGATTTTAGAAAAGATTTGATGCAATGGTGATAACACTGATGTTTCCCCCAGTGTCAGGACACGCTGGTCCAGTTTGGAGGTTTCCTGGCCACCCAGCTGAGTACAGAAGACTACAACAAGAGTTTACCCCCCCTGGACATCATGGTCACCACCTACCACACCCCTCCTGACGCTGCCTTCTTCCTGTCCAGGCCCATGTATGCTCACTCTATCAACGTAAGTCTGCAGCTCACATTTTATGTTTACTTTTAGGCTATAAAAAATATTGATTTTGTTGTTTATTCTTCTTCTCGTACAAAAATTGAAGAAATAAAATAAAGTTTTTATATTAAAAAACAAAAAAAAATTGATCTGCTCCAGGTCAGTGATCTGCTCCAGACGGCTGTCACCATGGTAACTGGTGCTGTTGCAGGATTGTGCAAATGTAGTTGGATTGCATTATGTAGCAAGTTGCAGGAGTTTGGAGGCTGGTCATCCCTGTTCATGTTTACCGAAGGAAAACATATTGTTATGGCTTCACCACACCACGAAGTTTGCTCTGTTTCCTCCCATTCTTTCTCCAAACCAATAAGGTCAATGACCTGGACCAAACGTCTGTCACCGTGGTAACTGGTGTTGGGTTACATCATGTTGGCAATGTAATTTTATAAGAGGACTTCATAAGAAGACTAGTTTCATGGCCAACTTTTTTACCCACAGACAAGGTACGATGAGCTGAAGAAGGCAGACAAGGGCAGTAAAACGTCCAGCTCCCAGAAGACACAGCGTTACATCCAGGCAGTGACGGAGGTCACCTCTCCTGTCATCGAGTCTGCACGGGTCATCCACCCACCCAAGGTCTGGGACGACATCAGGTCAGAAATACATCTGTGCTGTTATCAGTCTATCTAGTAAAGGTACAACATTGTCTAGCCAGGAATCAAACCTGTAAACTTTTGGTCTCATGATATGATTCAACGTCACTGTCAAGTAATAGAACTGGTATTTACTGCTACTGTATTGTTTCGACCATCATAAAATGAATAAATCCCACAAAATTCAAGATTTTGTAATAACAGGACTTGAAATACCACTGTTAGCGGAGAAAAAACTGGAGCTCTGCAGGTATTGCTGATGGCTACCTGCACTACACAAAAGTGTCTATGGATTGTTGTATGCTGTATTGTATCGTACCAGCTGAAAAATGAAGAATATGCACAGTTCATTAATAAATAGTTGCAGCTTCTAGTTTGATGTATTAAAATCTCCTTTTAGTACAGCGGTGCAGTTAAAATTTGTCTGCTGCAAGTCATTTCCATTGTTACAAATACAGAAAAAAAAAGGATTTGGAGCCGTGACTGTTTATGATTCATGTTTTTGTTGTTCTTACCACCCTCAGCCCACAGTTCTATGTCACCTTCTGGTCCCTGAACATGTACGACCTGAGTGTTCCCAGTGGAGCCTATGAGAAGGAAACACAGAAGCTGAAATCCCAGCTGTCAGCCATAGAGGACAACAGGGAACTGGTCAGTACTTCCAGAGGATTATGTATTTGTCTTTACTTGGATACATTATGTAGCAAGTGTGGTTACCATATAATGTTATGTGAATGTATAGCAATAAATTAGTAAGATCCACTCTTTCCATCCTTCAATTCCAAATAAGAGAAAATGTTTGTGTAGCGTGCGTAGTCCACTGGTTAGCGACAACTTGCCTCTGGATCTAAAGTTCGAATCCTGGCTGTTGTCACTCTCCTGACATGGCATGCTACTTGCAAGGGTCACAATCCTTAGAATAGGATGTTATACCATGGTCTGCAGTTCAGTTTGCTTGTCACATAAGAGCTAAGTAAATTTCCCTGTTGCAATGAACCTGTAAATACTATACATGGTGTCTTCTATGTCACGACCAGTGAAAGATTAGCTCTTCCGTGAGCAGAATTGGATTGAGATCACATTTTGCTCTATAAGTTTTCTATTGCATCCCGTGCCCAAAATAGCCTTAGTCGAAGACTTGTATAATTAAGAACAAGTTTAAAATAGATATCCCTAATTGTGTCCCCAGGCCCAGAGTAAGAAGAAGAAGGAGAAGGAGCGATGTGTTGCCCTGATGGAGAAACTTCGTGAGGAGGAGAAGAAACAACAGGACCACTGTAGCCGGGTCCTCGCCAGGCTCAAACACGAGAAGGACTCATGGTTCATGTCTAGTATGTTTTTCTTCTTTCTTCTGTTGTATGTTTACCTTTGCAGAGGAAAAATATGTCATGTTTGCTCTGCTTCTTCTTCATCCATTCCAAATGTGTAATGTCAATGACCTGGACCAGATGGCTATCACCATGGCAACTGGTGCTGTAGCAGACACCCTGTGGTGTTGTATTACTTTATGTAGCAAGTGGTAGGACAGGCTGGTCACCATGTAACATCATTCAAGTTTTGTTTTGTTGCAGTGTTTGAAATGCTGATGTCTTTTCGTAAATATTGCAGGATCCACAAAGAATGAAACGATCACCCAGCTGCTGCAGTTGTGTATCTTCCCTCGCTGCCTGTACACAGCCAACGATGCGGTGTACTGCGCCAAGTTTGTGCACATGATCCACAACATGAAGACTGAGAACTTCTCCTCACTGCTGCTGTACGACAGGGTACGTCTTAACCTTCCTCCTGCTAAGGTAGCCTTTTGACACCAAATGTGTGTTGACAACATGGTCAGGCAGCAGGTTGAAGGTTAAAAAAACTGTCGCTGAGGTAGTCAACCACATTTTGTTTACTGCTTGTTCCCTTTTATCATTTATTTTTATATGTTAAAAATTCTTTAGATCTTAACAGATAAGGTCTTAGATAATGTTACTTACTTCATGTTTAACATTAATTGAAGTTTATATTAGTTTCTTCTTCGCTAATCACATGACCTGGACCTGATGTCTGTCACCATGGCAACTGGTGCTGTAGCAGACACCCAGTGGTATTGGGTTACATTATGTAGCAAGTGGAGAAGGTTTGTTTTACATAGGTTGAAGTTCTGACTGTCTTCTGATTTTTGTCTGGCCAGGTCTTCTCTGACATCTCGTACATGGTGGCCAGCTGTACCGAGAGTGAGGCGCGCTGCTACGGACGCTTCCTGTCCGCCATGTTGGAAACCGTCATGAGGTGGCACAGTGACAAAACCATCTACGAGAAGGTCTGTTGTCTTTGGACTTGTATAATATACTGTAAAGCCCAGGGCTGGAAATACTTTTTTCTGCATGCCTGCACATATAGATGTAGGTAACATTAAAAATTAAAGTTCAGTAAAAACGTAATTTTACATTCATCATATACATGTGTCTCTCGATGTGATTTGTATGCTTGTAGTCTGCAATTCAAAAGGATAAGCTTCAGCTAGAAATCAGCAATTCTACATCTTGCCATCTATATGTACAAGTATATAGATAGATTATCTTTAATTTTGTAGTCACCTTGTCTCTTATGTGATTTTACAATGTATGTATATGATATACTACATGTATAGGACCACAGGAAGAATAGCTGAAGTGTCATGCTAATTAAACTAATGTTCGTCCCTATTGTTGTAGTACTTTTCTTTAGACATGAAACATGATAAGTTATTACTGACTTTCTAGGTATTTCATTTTATATGGTGCACCCCAAAAATTTTTTGTCCACCCAATTTTTGGGAGCACCATATAGTATTCCCTGTATAATGTTTGTTCCTGTACAGGAGTGCTGGGGGTACCCTGGGTTTGTGACAGTACTCAGGGCATCAGGAGCAGGCAGCAGCAGCAAGGCAGACCAGCTGGACTATGAGAACTTCAGACACGTCTGTCACAAGTGGCAGTTCAAGCTCACTAGGGTAAACACTGACAACAAACAAACAAACAGCTTTGAATTTTACATTATGCAGCTGAAAGTTTAGTTTCGAATTGGTATATTCTTGAAGTGCTTCCATTGTTTTTGTACTGTACTGCAGAATCTTTTAAACCACAAGCTTAGAACACTGCAAAAACCTCCTTCTAGTGTAGCTTTGTGGTTGAAATTAAAGCCTGCCCCCAAAAGAAACAAATTTACAATCAATCAAAGCAAATCAATCAGTCTTCATTCAAACAACTCGCAGACAAAAGTCTGTATTGTGTCCTTCTTACAAGGCATTACAAAAGATTTGACGTATGAAAGACTACACATGGTCTACACTTGATAATTGGGTTCAGTAAAACATGTACATTAAAAACATAACAGTTTAGCATATCATAAAAGGTACCACTAATCTCTCCCCTACAGGCCCTAGTGATCTGTCTGGAGTCCCAGGACTATGTACAGATCAGGAATACACTCATCGTCCTCACAAAGGTCAGTGGGACATCTAGTCACCTTGTAACATTGTTTTCTTCTAATGTCCCGTACATGTATATTGAAAATGCCATTCATGATTGTGTTCGTGACAGGAGAAGGTATTTGTGTGTGTGTGTGTGGGGGGGGTCTAACTTTAGCTATAATGTTTGGTATGTGGGTAGATCTTGGGAAGCCAACATTCAAGGTTGATGTTGGGCCCTCTTACAGCTTTCCTTGGCACTGCAGCATAACTTCCCATATTTGTATCCTCTGATCTGGACATGCTGATGTCTTGAAGGTTTTGATTGTACTGGTAGTAGGTCTTGGGTAGACAGTTCCAGGTCGATTTTGGGCCTTCCTTCTTTGCTCTTGTTTTTTCTAAAGCCTTGTCTTCATTGTTTGTTCCCAGATCCTACAGTACTACCCCATGGTACAGAACCTGGCACTGGCCCTGGAGCGCCGCGTGGACAAAATACGGCAGGAGGAGAAGGAGAAGAGACCGGACATCTATGCTCTTGCCATGGGGTACCCTTCCTGGCCTACAGATTGTCTTCTACTCACCCTTTTGTCCTATTTATAACTGTGCACATAGAACTAACTGTTTAAACACTTAGTTGTGTCTGTTTGGATGTACAAAATGTCTTTGTAGGTACAACTGTATTTGGCACATGAACTTTGCTTTCAATGTATAAATGTATAAATCCATGACAGCATCTTGTATGGTATTGCCATAATAGTATTAAAGGCACCTAAAGCAATTTCAGGGCAGTAAAATTGGATTATCAAAGTCAATTTTCTGGTCATTTTTTAATGTAGTACCGGTAAGTTGAATGAACCCTATCCTGTAGCATACAGATGTCTGTGGGGCAAAAATGTGATGTCGCTGACGGAAAATGGTTGCATGTTGTGTATTGTAGGCTGGTTCTAGCTATTTAGTTTTGTTACCCTGTTTTGGGCTACATGTGTTTAAAACACTTGTATGAAAAGTATGAAATGCTAAGAAATGGCAGTAAATGTCAATATCAGATTTCCTCATCCAGAATATTTTTTTTGTTTTGCCACCCTGAGATTGCCCTGAATTGCACTAATTCTCCAGTTGTGCTTAAAGACTTTATTAACCAGTGTTAGAATGAGTTTAGAAACACCCTCCCTTCTCTGTCCTTCAGCTACACAGGTCTGTTGAAAGGCAAGAAGGGTCAGCTGGTTCCCGAGCACGAGTTTCACCTCAAGGAAGCGCTCAAGGCGTCTTCCAAGAACGGGCCTGTCTCGATCTCCGCCAACTCATCCGGTCTGGTGGGGTCCTCTGGGAAGTCAGACGGGTCCAAAGACTCAGGGAGAAGTGGTGCTGAGTCATCGAAAGGGAAGCAAGGTGAGAGTTTCTCCACTGTCAACTTGTTTGTTTGTTTGTATGTTTGTTTGTTGAAAAACAAGATAGCAGCATAAGAAAATTAACTTATGCCATATCCACAATGTCCATGATCAAGATCAAGACATGGACATTGGCATTCAATGAAATACAGTCAAAACTGCCCAAGAAGATCACTCAGGATAAAGTCCAGTCTATGTAGCCGGATAGCCACAATGGGAAAAATTATCTAAGATACAACCAAAAAGTGTCAAGGTGGTCCTCATATAGTTGTCACTTTTACAGGGCTGACTGTAGCTGCTAAAATCAGCATGAAAGTGAAATGGTTACTTTTGAAAATATGAAGGGAAAATGAAATACAGGGACAGTTTGTTAAGGGTTTTTTTTTCATTAGACACACTGAAAACATGTAACAAATAGACTTTTTCCTCACAGGGAAAGAGGAGAAATCCAAGGATAGCTCGACAGATGGAAGTTCCAACGACAAGTCATCTTCCAGCTCAGCCAGCAAATCCTCATCAGCCAGCAAGAGTGCCATGAACGGTGAAGTATCCATGTCCTCAAGCAAGAAATCTGACTCAAAGTGAGTACCAGTTTTTTTACATGTCCAACATCAAAAGGTTGTGTGAAAAAAGATTTTGTAGATTTTGACCCTCAGTACCAGCATGTTGTATGACATGTATGACTGTAAAGCTGTTGAGAAAAGTGCAGAATGATACAGTTTGGACAAACCTGTCTAACCCATTTTCCTGTGTGATTGCAGACAATCTTCTGAAAAGACCAAAGACAAGGAGAAGAAAGAGAAGTCCCACAACGGTGAGAAGTCACACAAGGAGGGCAAGGGTCACAAGGAGGACAAAGGTCACAAGGAGGACAAGGGTCACAAAGAGGGCAAGGGTCACAAGGAGGACAAAGTTCACAAGGAGGAGAAAGTCCGTGAGCATCGCAGTCACAGCAAGGAGAGGGAGAAGAGCCACCGGTCACCCAGCGTCACGTCCAACGGAAGTGGGAATGGGAAGCCAGGAAAGAGGTCAACCGAAGCATCACCTAGAACATCTGACTCTGAGAGGGGTAAGTCTTCTTCTGAAGAGCGTTCATACTAGCTGCTACTCAAAGGCAACAGAAAATGGTTATGGTAGGCAGGTGGTGTCCATAATTTAGTATAAATAATCTAAGGAACCACCAAAAAGTGGTTGCAATGGCCAGGTTTCTAGAACAGGTTTGACTGTATTATGATATTTACTGTTTTGGTAGTTAAAAGTTCAGATGAAAGCTAGAAAAATGATGCTTACGGTCTTCTGTGCTTCTGTTTCAGAGCACAAGCGTAGTAGGAAGGAGGAACATATGTCATCAGCCTCGTCAGCGACGTCAGCAGTGGCAGCTAAGGTTAGTATAGAGTAGCGGGGAAGGAAGGAGAAGGGATGACGACCACTTCTCTCACTACGGAGGAGGAAAGAGAGGATCGTGCCTGAAACCGCCCCACCGTTGGTCGCTGGAGCAGTTTCAAGCTTCCCGAGCTGTGCAATACGGAGTGTCCAAATCAGCGACGCTAATAAAAGTTAGGCGAAAATCGATCGGAGTTTAGGAAGGAAGTTGTAGTGTTCTCCCTCTTGGAGTCATGGTTCTCTGGAGGATGAAGCCCGGGTGCTCATGGGAGTCGCAGTCCTCACACGGGTGCGGGGTAGAGAAGACGTCGGGGTCCCTGGTAGCCATGCAGAAGCCTGTTTTGGAAAGTGGCTTTGCTGCGCAGGTGCTCTAGGTGGTTGGTAAAGTATTGGACCGGCCGGGCTGAAAACGCAGCGGTGTGTGCACCCTAACGCGCTGTGACGAAGACCACAGCTCTCGAGTCTTTTCCCCATTCACTCTCCATTCCCCTTTTCACTGAAGCAAGGTGGGTTGGCGTAAGTATGGCAAGCCGAGCAAAGCTACATCCCTACCAAGGCTCAGTCACTGGTCTCACCAGAACACACGGGAGCGACACATGCAACAATGGAAGCAAACACAGAAGAGGAGACAAGCGGATTAACATAATTCCCACTCATGAAGACTGCTGGAATAAAAATTTGCCCTCACCATGTTAAGGAGAAGTGTTAGATAAAGAAAGCAGGACAATTGAAAGGAGCTATTAAATTGTTGCAAGCCTTTGTCACAACGTTATGTCCACATCTCACACAATTATTTCCCGACTGCACAACACACAGAAGGCCTTGTATCAAACAACTGGTTTCCTAGAAAACAACGTTTTTATGTGTTGATTCGTCGCCAACATACAAAATGTACAACACCACAAGGATGACCACTGCCAGGAAATCTGCGTAAGGAATCTTCACATCAACACAGCTATACTGGATACAACCATCATAACAGCATTCATGGGACCGCGAAAGTTCATTTGGACCAAAGCAATGATAACCACTACGATAAAAAACTGTTTACCTCAAATCAAGGTTCAAGGTACCTCAAATCATGGTGCTATCAACCAATGCAATATATAACAACACCGAGCTACCAGAAGCTTCTTACTTTATACATTCCACTGTGTTTGCCGACACAGACAAGCAGTGAAAGAACTCTGGGGCCACTATAGCAGATTGAACCACAGCTGGCTGTGGGTCTTACAAAAATGATGCCTCATCGACGAGACAAGTTTGACAAGTTTGATGTTCAAGACGAAATGAAGAAAAGTCATGTTATGTAAAATCCACTCTGTATTTGTTTTAAAAATTTTTGATTAGTTACAATCTGGCAAAGTTACTTTGGTTCACAAGTATTTATCAGAAATTTCCTTGGAGGAAAAAGCCTCTATACAGGCCTCGAGGATGCTGCAATGGGCCAGATAATTAAACAAGTTGCAAGTAGAATTTGAAACGGTCTGACCAAGAGGAAAGAGGCCAAATGAGAATCAGTTTCCATTGTTTTATCAGCTGCAATCTTACTACTGGTATCCTCAGGAAGTTCTGGAGATATCATAGCCTATATCAAAGACCAGCCACGCACACACAAATACAATGAGGAGAAATATATTAGTTGTGATGATTTCTGTGGGACCAGTAAAATATGAAGAAGAATTTATGAATCATGTATTTATGAATCATCACAATCTGCAGAAAAGTCTTTGTCAACCCTCAGAAAGGGGAATTAGAAGTACGCCTTTACACCAAGAAGATGTCCAACAGCACCGTTAATTGTTAAGTTTCGGAAATCATCTTGAAGACATGTCTGTTCCATCAGTGTGGAAGATACCATAGCAAAATTTTGCAAAATAAGGAGGTTACAGATGATTCTTTGTCAGCTTGGATTGCAGAGGACATGAAGCTGTATGTGCTACAAAGAAGACACCTTAGTCACGTCAGTGTAAAAGATGTTATTAGCAATCTACAATCTGCAAGAGAGCATTTACAAGCCATGAAGCATCTGATGAAGCGTTAAAGCTTGTGTCAGCATCGAGTCATGTCAATCTTCAACTCCGCCTAAAGTCTTCGTCAAGATCTCCAGCTAGAGTCTTTCTTCACCAAGATCTGCACCTGAAAAGATGTGCAGATCTCTGTAAAGATGTCCACCAAGTTGTCAAGATTTCACCGTCAAGATTCCACCTGATGTCTTTGCTAAGATCTATACCTGAAGTCTACATCAAGATCTCCATCTGAAGTCTACATCAAGATCTCCATCTGAAGTCTGCGTCATGATCTACACATGAAGTCATCTTCAAGATCTACATCTGAAGTGTTCGTCAAGATCTACACCTGAAGTCTACATCAAGATCTCCATCTGAAGTCTACATCAAGATCTACACCTGAAGTCTACATCAAGATCTCCATCAGAAGTCTACATCAAGATCTACATCTGAAGTCTTTGTCAAGATCTACACCTGAAGTCCTCATCAAGATCCCCATCTGAAGGCATGACGATGTTCATCACAAGAATGAGTCTTTATCTCTGCATTATAACACAACGCCAAGACAGCCTAAAGTTCTCCAAGTAACCCCCTGCCTTGGAAGTCATCTTCAAGTCTCCACCTGGAGTATGAAAGATGCCACGGCAAGTTTCATCGTCTGGGATTGCAGATGAAGAGGATCAGTGCAACTTTCCTGACAGGATTACAGACAACAGAGCTACAATCAAGTTCACCACCGTAACAAAAAGTTGAACCAGCAAATGAATTCTGAAGGATAAAACCAAAGGATCGTAAGAATTGCCTGGAAGAGATTATTACTTGTTCTAACTTAATTTAGGAAAATGAAACAAGGATTTCAGGACAAACTGCAGTATTTAGATTTTTTTCCCATATGTTACGAAAGCTATTTTAAGGGTTTGAAAAACCCAAACAAGTTCAGCTCAAAGAGCATGTTTTATTTTCTAAATTTTTACTGTACTCATGTGACTGTTATGAAGGATATAAGACTGTTACATCTTCAATGTCTGTGACAGGAAAAGAAGAACTGTTGCCATGGATTATTACGAACATTTCTCTCAATTCAAGCTGAAGTGGAAAAACAGTGCAAGAGGAGCCATGGATATAATGATACAAAAATAAACCAAATCCAGTTGTTGGAAGGTTCAAAGACGAATTGCAAAAAAAGGAGACCAGAAACTGAGTTTTGGAAGTGAATGTAGCTTTGCAAAAATTTTCTGTACTATACGACAAAAAGACCAAAGGTTGACCAAAATGAAAGCAAACAAAATTCTTTGAAAAATGGTGGACCAGGAATTCAAGTTCAGTTGATTTCAGTTGTGCTGTATATACAATTTGTTATCATCAAGTAGATTTATAGCCAGTACAGAAAAGTTATTTTTGTGATATAATATTTATTTTCTTGTAAAGAAGTGTCTTGTGTCTCAGGGTTGAGGTCATTCTAGTAAAATGAAGAAAAAAGACACCTTTTGAATTCTGTGGTCATATTTTGTGGTCCATTCGTACCCAAAAATGTGTTTACCCCAAAATAGCAAGCATGAAGCAAAAATTTGTTCTGTCAGTATTATGATTCTCAGGTTGGTACATGTATTTGTCTTTTCTTTGAATTCATGGTTTCATAGATGAGGTTTTTAGTCACAATGTATTGTATGTGATTTTGCGTTTGATTTATTTAATGTTACCAGAAATTTCTGTATCCTGAAATGGAATGATTAATCTTACTGCTATCTTAGAAGATGGACTTTCTTTGGCCAGCAGAGCACAGAAGCTGCAATTCCAAAATCTTGAGTTCTTGTTCTTAAAAAAGAAAAAAAGGCCTACAGTACAAGTAAATGCCATGATTGTTCTGATAGTGCAATTCTTGGAAGCCTTTTACTAACTTCTGCTTGAGTGGCAGCTATCAAGACCACCCAGCACACTGATTGGTGGACTTAGGTCAGCTGACCTGTGATGTCATGTGTCTCCCAACCCCATTGCAGGATGGTCATAGGGCAGAGCATAAGGAGGCATCTCATAAGGTTAGAACATCTTCAGCATGTTGCTAGCTCTAATGTTGTTAACTGGTGATGGAATTCATGGTGTGAGGGAGCATATCGTCAAAGCGTACTGCGCCCATGCAAAACCTGTATAGTCCATAGCACTTTGGCAGAATGTCTACTTTTAGGTCATAGTCCCATATTTGTTAAGGACGTATCCCATCTATAGTTTTTAAATGTTGTGTTGGAAAGATGTCTGCAAAATTCTGATGCAACATTGACTAAACATCCAACGAAAACCATGTTTTGCGCAGGTGCAGTACGTTCTGCCAACATCCTGTGTGCACCTTATGGAAATATCTGAAATACTTGAATTACTCTTGTCATAAACAGCTGAATCTGAACATGAGAACAGTAAATGCAGTGATCGTGCAATAGACAAGAGCTGTAGCTGTACAATTAGAAGCTTTCATTGTTTAACAACTCGGTCATGCAATACATTGTAGATCAGGCTCTTTGTAAATTTTCCAGAGCAAGCAAGAGCTTTGAAAGTACTAGCAGGTTACTGGACCTAGTCTGTAAATGAAAGTGAGAGACTGCAGGCTGTGAGAACCTGTGACCATTCTAGTGTGGATGACAGTCTTTTCTCCAACAGAGCCCTCGGTACTCCAGCCCAGCCCAGCCCCTGACAGAGAAGGAAAAGAAACGTGCCAGCAAAGAAAAGGAGAAGGGAGAGCGAGATCGGTCCAAGGAAAGGGATGGGGAGAAGCGCAGAGAATCCAAAGAACACAGAAAAAGAAAGAGCGAGGTAGATGCCCAAACATATTTTGAATTGATTTTTTCATTTTTTTTTGACAAAAAATAAAACAGAGAAGTACATGTATAAAAACAGTTTGCAAGAGTAGGGAAGAACCCTGAAAAGGCTTATGCGAAGCCCTACTCCATTTACATTATAATTTTATCAAATACACATTTAGCCAATCATAATTAAATAAGTGAGTGATGAACAGTTATGGTGTTGATTTTAGGTTTGGCAATGTAAACAAGGACCACAGAAAGAAAACCTACAGTTTGAATTGTCATGCTAATTGTGTTTTGAAATGAATGCAAACTCTTTTATTTTCAGGAGCCTCCATCAATGACAGAGTTCCAGGAGTCCAAGAGAAGAAAAGATGAAGAAAAAGGTAACCCTACACAAGCCTACACTGCCACTAGTAGCAGTACTAGTAATAGGTTGATTAGTGGGTTTATATTGGTCCCTTATGGGGTCTTTCCTTGAAAAATCTGTGTCTGTGCATGTGTACATACAGTGGGCACTGTCAGTAGTTCATTTTTGCTTTGTGTACGCTACAGGAAAGTCTGGCAGTGACTCTAGAAGAAGCAGCCAGGAGAAGGAGAAGCCTCGCACCCCACAGACCACACCCAAAATCAGCAAGCTGGCCAAGGAGTCTGGAGAGAAAGGGAAGAAGGTGGGAACCAGGACTCTTAACCTTCTTCCTGCTGCCTAACCCATAACCTACAAAGCATTGGTCACTTCGGTGTGCTAAAGGGTTAAAAAGAAGTCTGTCAGATTTTTTCCCACATAGAAGGATTTCATTAACCTCAAGCCTGCTAAGGTTGCTGTTTGGCACCAAATTTCTGTTAGTCAAGCAGATATTTGAAGATTAAATCACTTGTGCTAGTTGTAGATTTTTTGTTTGTTTGGTCTTAAGTCATCAAAATGTCAAATTCTCTCCTCCTCAGGAGTCCAAGGATAAGGATAAGGAAGAGAAGAAAAGCAGCAAAGAGAAGAAAGTGGAACGGAAAGAAGAGAAGAAACAGTATCCTTACTAACTACATTGAATTTTACATGCCTTTGTTTCAGGCCCCCTGATTGGTCAGGTTAGGTCCTATCACAGGCCACAATACTTGCCCAATCATAGGTCACTACACTTGACCAATCACAGGTCACTACACTTGACCAATCACAGGCCACTATACTTCTGAACATGGGTGGTGCATTTATAACTTGAAGGTCCCTCATCTGTTACGACCATTGATACAGCACCATGTTTGCAGCACCACTTAAATCAAAGCATTTCTAGTTACATCAAACATGAACAGAGATCATGGCTTTTATTGTAACTTACAGTAAGATCCCGTTCATACCAGACTTTTAAAAACCGGTTGAAACCGCTAAATAATTAGCGGAGGAAAACCCGGCTAAAACCCTTAGCGTTCATACCAGACTTTTCATAACCGGTTTTGTAAAAATCCTGTCCGGTGAATATCCAATTAATCGGGCATGACGCAGTTTGAATAACCGTTCCTCCCGCTCTTCCGATTGCTGTCGCCTCCTTGTATTCCGTCTTCATGTTCATTACCTTTTACTGCGGCACTGATCTTTAAATAAACCAGGTTCCTCCAACATGTTTGTTTCGGTAGAGCACACCCCCCCCAGCTTTGTCAAATTCGGCGAGTCCAGCTCTCCACAAATACATAAATAAGTATCAGGAGCGTCTCGTCTGTCGACCAGGTTGCGTATGCTGATTCCATCGATCTCAAAATTAACAGAAACCGTGGGAAAACAGTGGAAACGAACTCAAATTGGTCAAAACAACGCCATAAAAAAGCTTTAGGTCGTCCACGGCCAGGATGCTGACCTCGTGACCCCGGAATTATGACGCAAAAACCGGTTCAATAAACCCTTAGCGTTCAGACCAGGTTTTTCGGTGGAAAAACCCTCAAAAACCCTTAAAAAACCACCTCCCGAGGTGGTTTTTGTAAAATCGGATTTAAACCCCTAAAAAAACGGTTAATTTGCGTTCACACCAGGTTAAATAAAAACCGGTTTTTGAAAAACCGGTTGAAACCGCTAAATATAAGTCTGGTATGAACAGGGTCTAATCCATTAAGTTTCAATCTACAGCATTCAGGGAGTTGTAGAAGTGTTGAAATCTATAAGCCTTTGCAAAAACTTTGATAAGTCCTTAACCCAACCTCCCAGTTCCTCTCACAAGTCGGAGAAGAAGAGATAGAAACCGGAGATGGTCCAATTACAACCCGACTGTCATATCAATGCTGCTGCCATGTCAACCAACATCTGCTAGTACAGCAGTCTTATTACTTGTACAGAGCAAATCTGCAAAGTGTTACCTTTTCTGTTAATAAACACTTTTAAGGAGAGACTTTGTCCTAGCAAGCCGACCATACTGGTTAGAAACAGCGTGTTTCACCAAAAATGTATACGAAAGACAATAGGAGAGGGAGAAGTTTCTGCTTTTGACACCAGCTTTAGACTACGTTTTTGTACAAAGATAAAGTCTTGATGAAAGTGATGGTGGCTTTTGAAAACTACAGATAACATGGTTCAACACAGCTGAAAAGGATTATTTACTAGTAGTTATTCACAGTTCTTTCCAAGCAATACTTCATGGCTGTCATTTAAGAATCATGCCATTTTAAATTGTCCTTTTGACTCCAAGATTTGTTGTACCTCATACGTTTGTGTCTTTGTATAGTAGCTTCTCTTATGTGTCTTCTTAAAGCCTACACAGCAATGGTTTTCTTATCGTATAGCCAGTCTTTAATTATGAAAAAAAAGCACTTCTTTTCTGGAGAATAGCAAGGTCCCAAAACAGTCATTTTTATTTATTTTGTTCTCAGGTTTTTCTCTTCAGGAAGGACAGGGATTTCAAATGGCCAAATTATTGGCACATCTTTTATCGTGTCATGGTGAAAGAGTTTGTAAAGATTATGAAGTTGGCCTGATGTTGCACAAGCCAACATGTAGAAGGCTGTATAAGAGGGATAGGTTGGATACTGAAATATGTCAAATTTTACAAATGTAGGCATCACAGTTGGGTCACCTTGACTACAGTATTTTCTCTTCATTTAGATGAATCTGTGAACAAAGTAAAGAATTATGGTGACTGAAATGGTAAACCAGGTGCTTGAATGTTCTTTTTGCTTCCACAAGATAAAAAAAAGATGATTAAAAGTCCACCCATGTTTCCTTTTGTCGTGTTGATCTTTATTTAATCCTTGCTTGTTAAGAGTGAAAATTGATTGGTAGTTTGAATATTCATCTAAGATTTATCCATCAGCAGTAGATAGTCACCTGGTATCTATCCCAGGCCTCAACTTTATCCTGGTTTCAAGCAGGATGTAGTAAGCCTGCACAAAACCCATAATGTTTTGTCCTATAGCACTTTGGCTAGAACATCATTTAGGTCATATCCTTTGGTCTATACCTTTGAAATGTGCAGAAAAAGTTACCATTTGCAAAGGGCAAAATTTTGAGGCAACATTGACTGAACATCCAACCAAAACCAAGTTTCACGCAGGTGCAGTATGGTCTACTGAGTCGTGCTATTTTCAGTAGAACGGCATGTCACATGCACAAGAGCCCACTTGTAACATAAGCCCAACACAGTTGATCCCCACTTGCAACAAGCCCCATCTTGTAGGCACTCCCAGCAGGATGAACTACATACGCTGCCAGCAATAGGGCATGACCAGATCCTGCATGACAACACTGCAACCACGTTTAAAACTGCTACAGGGAATGAGAAGGTCAAATACAACTTTTGCCCTACCATTGTACATCTTCAGTACATACATGTACAGAATGTTGATGAAGGCTACATCAAAATTAAATATTCTATAGGGACAACTAAATCAATAAAGCCTGTCACACATGGCGAATTATGGCCTCCCGAACACTGCCAAACTCACTCCAAACATAGAAGTAGGTCAAGAGCAAGGTTGTCTGGTGTTCGGTCAGGTCGGCTACTGTTCAGCTGCGCCAGCCAAATGTTTGAAAATGTTAAAAACATTTGGGTGTTGACAGGAGGTTCTGCCATGGATGGCTGGTGTATGGGAATAGGTCGGGTTGTGGTTGGCAGTCAAATTTGACTCAAATTTAACTCAAATTTGATTTGTGTAGAAAGGTGGGTGGGGCCTTAATCTGGTCAGTCTGCTTCCGAACTTCAAGCAACCTTGGTTGGCTGGTGTTCAGGGGAAGGTTCTGAATGTGTGACGGGCTTAAGCCAACATCCTACTAATTCCCCACTTGGATCTATATACCAGGTATAAGCTGCTTACTTCAAGAGCACTTTATAAGGCATGGGAAATTTTTGGCCCAGATTAAAATACCTCAAATGTACAATAATCTGATTTAAAATCAGTCAAAAGTTAGGGTTCAATGACAATTATTTTTGTTTATTTTGCTGCATGGCAACAGTGGTTACCTTACAAGGGAAGGTACGTGTAGAGCTCAACAAAAACAAACACATTTTTTCATGTCATGTTTTGTGAGATTGAAATGATACACACTAGTTTATCTTCAACATTTTTATTGAACACATGATGCTCTTGATCTGACACACAGCCAGACTACCAATACAATTTACACATGATGAAATCCTACAATAATAAATGACAGATACAGATGACAATCATATCTCCCATACTTGTACTCCCTATTATGTGAAATACAGACTCTCGCTTATTTAAACATAAGTGAAATCTAATCATTTTGTGATTTCTTTTAGATGACCTCTGGAGAAGCGAACCAGAAAAAAAATCATACATGTATGTCAAAATGCTCAGAATACTAAAATTAAGTTTGTGAAGCCTGATGAAGAACACAAAATGGCTGATGTCCTAGGACCCTCTGTAGGTGGAGTATCCAAAAGGATTCAGCAGTAGAGGCACATGGTAGTGTTGGCTGGGGTCATGGATCTCAAACACAATCTGAAAAGGAACAGAAAGGAAAGAATATTTTATGTTTCAAAAATTGACTGGGGGGAGGGTAGCCGTGGCGACTCTTGACTCGGGCTTACATAATTTGCATTACCCTCAGCAAGAGTCGTGGAAAGATCCATTGGCAGAACTGCACATTTCCCGTTGGCTGCTCGATGCTCCGTTTTTGACCCGGTTTTTTGCTGTCCCGAGCTTCCCTACAATATAACTCCACAATTGGCCGGGTTGCCGATGTTCAGATCGGCCTAAATATTCCACAGCGCGACGGGAAAGTACTAAAATAGCTAGTCGGTACATCCGCGCCGCCATTTTGGATATAGTCCGGAATGTCCGCTACCGCCGTCGGGAACGCTCGGTAGCGCCACGATTACCGAAGCGGGACCGAAAACTCTCCGATCATAACCGGAAAGCCTACCGAGCGTTCCCGACGGCGGTAGCGGACATTCCGGACTATATCC